CTCCTTGTGCAAGACTGAAGTACAGCAGGTACTGCATGTGATCTTTGAGACTGGAAACAACAGGGTTTGTAGGAAATTTTCATTTGGAGAAATACAATCCACTCAACCACTCTCTCTATTTACAGAACGTATTCCGAGGTGTTGCAATTTGGTTTATACAATAACACAGATTTTTGCACGTTTGCGAATCACAATTGTTTGTTCCTCTGATTCATTTGCATCTGAGGTGTGTGAACATGCTCGGGTCATGTTATTTTTTATGTTTTTTTCTTTTCATGAATTGTCTGTTTGCTCCTTTTTCCATACCGTAAGATTGTAAAATTTATTCAAGCAACAATAAGGCTTTTGCCAAGTTCTCATCCTCCACATTGTTCTCATGTTAATACCCCCTCGCCTCAGGGTCTGCATAAATCTGCCTAACACAGACTCTCACACACACACACACACTCTCTCTCTCCTATACACAAACTTGAACTAACAAGTCTTGATGACGGACAAGTGAATTTGTTTGATGCTGAAAATCAAAAGCACATCAGAAATAGCTTCTGCTGAACTGAGCGGCGCAGACGTCCTCTTTAGCACCATCTGAAGAGGCTCTGGTGAGAGCTGATGTTTGTGAGAGGAGGAAGCAGAGGGGGGGGAGGGGGAGGGGAAGAAGAGTAAAAAAAACGAGTAAAAGTTGCCGCGTCTCCTCTGGGATTATAGTAGTCTACTGTTACCGCCAATGTCGGCCTCTATAGCAGCTGGAATGTATGCTTGTGTTTGTGTGTGTGTCTGGGATTTGAGGCAGCTGCAGAAAAGGGGGGGGGGCTGCAGTGTTGTTTTCCAGTGGGAAACAAGGGGGTGTGTCCCTGCACATGATTGGCCCAGTGGGCCGACTCCAGTGTATCCAGTGACATCACAACGTCCTACCTGACCTACTTAAAGTGGCAGTGACGTCACCGCCGTCTCTTTCACTCTGCTTCTCTTTTTGTCCTCCGTCCCCTTCCACCCTCTCTTATACAGCTCCTTTCTCTTGGCCTCTTTTTGTCTTTCCAATTACTATTTATTCATTTATTTTTGCATTCATCTTCTCCTTTTCCTTCTTGTTCTCCCATGATACAGAGGCAAGCACAGGAATCAGAGTTAAATGGGTGAGAGAGAGGGAAGAGAGCAAAGAGGCAGAATCATCAACCGTCGCCAATAACCCAATTTCTACAGATCTATTGATGAATATTGATGTGTTGGAAGGCGGCGCTGGCCCTGACTAAGTGACAAAATGGGATGACATGCTTCCGCCATATGGACAGAAAGACTCTGTGGGACCAAAGAGAAAGAATCCCATCTACCCTTTAAAACTGGGCTCTAAGTTTTTCGGACATGCTTTAGATTTGAAAAAGGAAACTGTAGGGATGCCCATGTAAAAGAACTTGTGCAGGCAGCTGAGAACAACAACCTGCGTGTTTAAACAACAATTTGAACAAATTCTGCACCGTAGGACTCTTTATCTGCAATTCGTGGGCAATACTTACTTGTGAAACGTAACTTTCTGTGAAAGCGGCACAAATCGCTTCGGTGAAACGAGCCTCAAGGTCTTTTAAATGCTGTCGAAACAGTAATTGTGTTTAGTAACTCTATTTAATCAGGTAATAAAGATCTGTTTTTCAAAGGGAGGCCAAGGAACCAAAAAACAATTACAGGCAGACAGCCAGCATACAAACAAACAAACAATCAGGTATTCTTGAGGTATTTGTGCCGTATATCAGGTAGTTACAACACTTAAATAAGAGAGAAGGCACTGAGGTAGAAGCAAAACGTTTTTTTTTTAAAGTGGTATCGACTTTCTCATTTAACGCTCAGCAGAACAAAAAAAGCTAATAAGCCCATTATTTTAAATGTTAAATATTCCTTTAACTGCTTCAATTTTGAATGCAGGATTTGCAGTCATTCAGTATTTTCTCCATGATGATGATATTGCTACTCATGCACTGAAAGTTGTTTTTCAGCAATTATTTCAACAATTCCTCCTCTCATCCTCCACCTCTTCTTCTTTGTGTTCGGTGGAAAACCCGCTTCCTCACTCATTGATATTCACACCAGCACAGCACTGTTCAAAACAAACACACACACACACACTGTTACATTGTCACAGTTAGGCTCTTCTTTGTACGGCGATATTAAGTGCAACCAAGTGCAGCCACAAACAGGATCAACCAAAGAAGAGGAACTTTTCTTTCATCACAAACATGCTGGCGGGGGGGGGGGGGGGGGGCACAGCTCTCACATACGGCATGCACCGCCGAACGAAAAGAAGAAGAGAAAAAAGCAACAGGGGTGTTTTTTTTCTTCTTCTATGTAGCCAAAAATTGTCCCAACATGCTGTCAGAATGTGGCTCCTTTACTGGGACGATTAGACAATTATGTTGCAAACTGATTGATTGTTGCAAAAATGCCAAAAACACTTTACTTCCCAAATGTGGGGATTTGCTTCTTTTCATTTGTTTTTTTTTTTTTTTACATCGTTATAAATTAAATACCTCATGGGTTTTGGAAATTGTCATGGGCTGTTTTGGCATTCTTAATAGAGTAAATAATACAAAATAAAAGGGGTTATCACTCATATAAATACTATTTATAGTGGGTTTAAACTTGAGAGAAAGACAGAGAAATACCTGCAATAAAAGCATCTCCAAACCCCCAAAACAAGTTATGAGGACCGATAGCTTTACCCTCCATGACTCGGTGTCAGCAGCCGGTGTATCAGTAATTAACAGAGATACAGTAACAGGAATAAGGTGCAAATTGATTTTAAAACAGGTTAATTTCCTTCTTGCTATTTTTGCATCTTTGCACCCCTGTAGTGATCTTCCCTTTTATCTCCCTCCTCCTCCTCCTCTCTCTTTCACACCCTTCTCATCCCTCGCTCTCATCCTCCTCTCACTTCGTCTCGGCCATGACCTCTCTTATCTCCCCCTCCTTCCTCAGTCTGTTCGCTCTCAGCTTGACGTGTTTGGATGGTTACAGGCTGAGCTATAGAGTTATGACAGCGAATAGGCACCAGCATCACCCGTCTTCAGAGTGACTCATCACACTAAAGGGCTTCTGCACAACTTTAACACGCCGACTGTGTTACGTGGACAAGAACAAAGTGCACAACAAAATGAAACAAAGCAAGTGTTGTGATGGTAACGGAGCCTTAGCTTGCAAAAGAAACATAGAAATATCACATCTAGTAGTTTAATAATAAAAGAGCCCATCTCAAAAGTGATGGTTCACACGTTCACATAAGGTTTGCTAAAGAGCAGATACTCCACCAGGGACACACAGATGGAGGACTTACAGAAGATGCGTCTTGCTCTATGGGACGGCTAACTGCACAGAGAGCTTTAAATGGATACACTTTGCTGGAATCGAACCTATGACCTCTCACGTTAATGGACACTCTTTCACAACAAGACTGTCGGGCTGCTAAAACATGCTGGAAATATCCATTCCTTTTAACACACGACCCTCCAAAAAGGTCAAAATAGGTGTTTTTCACTGCGTTTCTTCTGATGGTTAAATGGGTTTTATTTCTTTATTGTAAAGAAAAGAAAATCAAATACACGGTGGAGATGCATTTTGTCACATTGCTCAGTTCAGTGTTTGTATGTATGCGAGCAGAATTTGTTTGACGGGCTTCTTGGGTGGTGCCGTGATCCATCGCAAACAAATAAAGAGCGTCAGTGTTTCAGGCCTGTTGTGGAATGCGACTCGACGATACAATCTGTTCATTCGATGAATCGAAACTTAAAGGCACATCCATGTCGTTTCTTGAAGTTTCCTTGAAAATTGCACACACGTTTTCAGTGAAAAGCAGTAAAACATTACATAAGAACAACCACCATTGCTTATAGGAGGTCTACTTTAACTGTTGTACCATTTACACAAAATCTTTTCCGCTCTCTCCATCTGTCAGCTACTCCCTCCATCTGTCTCCAGCCTTCTGTGGCTGGTTCGTCCACCCCTCCATCATCCATACTCCCATGATCCATCCCCCTCTGCCTGTCTGCTGTTCCCCTTGTTAATCACAGTTCACCCTGAAGACTGACGTTCATTGATTAGTTATCCCTTCTTTCCTGCCAGCTCTCTGTTCTTCCCCTCGTTACTGAGAGCCACAAGGCCTCGGCAGACTAGACGGGTTTCATGTATATTAATGAGGAAGCCGTGTATTGATTGCTGTTTGGTCATTTGTTATGAGACTGTGGACTAACAAGCTGATTTGTAGATTCATTTTAATTTCCCCTTTTTCCTCGTCTGGCTTGTAGACTGAATTGAGTGAAAATTGACTGATTTTATTACTTCTATTGTTGCACCTCTATTTTTTTTTTGCCGCATAGGATTTTAAACCGTGAAGACACTAGAGGCAAATACACTGCACGAGGTGAAAGGCAATTAAGATTAAGCTAATTATACCCTTGAGCGCCGTTTGCCGCTATTTGCGTCAAAAGTCACACTCCTTTTATTACCAGTCAAATCTGAACACACAGACATGATACACACATTTTTATAATCAGTGCGACTTACCCTCTAAACGGGGCGTCCTCGTCTCCGATGTCCATCGCGGAAAAAACGATAAATTTGTTTAGAAATCGTAGAAACAAACGACGCTCCTGAAACTCCTGAACTTTGTTTTCTTCAGTGACAAAGTTACCCGATGAAGGGTGTCTGTAAATGCATGTGTACATTCAAAACATGAAGTGCTAATAGCTTATTCGGCATACTTTAATTGGCGCTAAGTTGCCAAAATGTAAACAAATCTAGGCAACTAACAAGTGTTGTGGTCCACAGCTAATAAACTGACTCCACGATACTTCCTGTTTACACCTCCTAAAGCACATATATATTAATCTCAACTCATAATTTCCATTTTCTATCCACCGCTTTTAAAAGCTCCACATGCGAACGACCCACAGCCTCGCACTGCACCTGAATGCACCACCCGTGTGGATTATGTTTTTACTGAAAGCTCGGACAGGTTCCAACTTGGAAAACATGTTTATTCACTTTCACCAGTGCAGTTGAAGGACAACAAAACAAAAAAAATGTAAATCAACAGAAACATGGAGTAGCCACTGCATTACAGAAGCCAGTCAGCAACAAACTAAACTATTTTCAGAGCAAAGGAGATTTTGGTCTGAGCACTTTGGCGCGGTCAGAGGTTTTGTGCATGCTCATGTTGTTATCCCACGAAGGGGAACGGAGATGCTTGCTGTGTGTTGTGTGGCCAGCTGTTGATGATCCACTGCCACCTGCTGGTTAGGAGGCAGCTGTACAGCAGCTGGATCAGGAATACATGTAAATACATCTTCAAGGCCGGACTCTAGTGTCTGGTATTTTGTCTCAAGCCTGACCTAAAATTCTAACCGTAGCATATTCTTATTCTGCTTTTGTCTCAATGTCAGCTACTACCTGCTGGTAAGTCAAGAAAAAAAAACGTTTTCTCTGTCAGTTTGTTTATGTTGGAGTGGCGTATAGCCCCGAGTTCAAACATACAAATGTTATACAATGTTTAATTTATCCTCCATTGAACTTGCATTTTGTCTAAATGTACCAAATCAAGAGTTTGCTTTTATCCAAGAGCAGTAATATCTATAAAAAGTCAAATATAATATGTCAGAACACAAAGTAAGAAACAAATCGAATCACCAACTTAAAGGAACTTTGGAAAATCCAGAAACAACTACTTGACATATTCTTGAAGTGTGTGTGTGAGGAAGCGATATCTTCATTACGCGTTATATACTGTAAATGTCCGGTCACTTCAGCAGATATGAGCACATAAACACCGTGTACAGGTCTGGTGTGGAGACGCAATCATACACAGTTTGTGTACGCTGTGTGTGTGTCTGTGTGTGTGTGTGTGTGCCTGTGGGATGCTTAGGAGTCGTCTCCGTTGGCGCTATCTCCGTCGTCTTCTCCTTCCTCGTGCTCCTCATCGTCATCCTCTCTCCCTCTGCTCTTCATCTGCACAGGGGGCGAGAAACAACACTTTATTCATCTCATGAGCTCTTCGCTCTCGCCCCGGTTTCCTTCCTTCCCTCCTCCTCCTCCTCACCTCGTCGTCATCCTCCAGCAGATCTCCCTCGTCGTCCGAGTCGATCATGCCCCGTTTCAGGCCGTCACATTTCTTGCTGGAGGTGGAGGAGTGGAGGGGGGACACCTCACCTGGTTCTGGTTTGCAGCCCTTCATATCTGGGTAAATTGGGGGGAAAAAATGTGATAAATAAAAGCAAGGAACCTCTGCACTAGACGAAACATCCACATCTCTTTCACGCTGGTATGAACTTTATTGTCATCAGCCCACCTGACTTCTTGCTGTGGTCCTTCTCCATGCGCTCCAGGCTCTCCAGCAGGTAGTCCACCTTCTGTTTGATCTGCGTGAGCTCTCTCTTGATGGTCTGCAGGTCGTCTGCCTTCACTGTGCGGGGGGGGAGAAGCAGTAGAGAAGTCATTACGGCGCTGACGCGGCGGAGCGGCTTCACGGGGAATGGCGGACGGAAACAAAGAAGCGCGGCACGTACTGGTGCGGGAGGTCCTTTGGCTCGTCTTGGAGGACGAGGAGAAGCTGGTTTTGGTTCGTCGGCTCCCTCCTCCGCTCACACTGACCCTCGGGCGCTTCGAGGGGATGATGGCGCGGGACAGAGGGGGAGGGGGGGGGAGGCACGCGGGACTGGTAGGAGTACATCCTGACATACAAAAAAAAGTTGATTTTTTTGAGATTATTGTTACAAAAAGCAATTTAACTTGAACTTCAAACAGGGCATTAATGAACAAACCCTGAAGTTGACCCAAACTATAAATTAAGGGGCTACAGATCCTCCACTTTGGACAAAAAGGACTTCAGCAACAACAGGCAAACAGGAGCAATCATCCTTAAACAGTACACAGAACTTACCTATCATAGTAGTCTCTCTGGAAGTCATAGTCCAATTCAACAGAGGAACTGTGGAGAGAGCAGAGACGGAACATTAACCACAGCACTTATCTTAGACGTAAAGTAATACGCTCTGACTTTGCGCGGTCAGGGGTTCCTGGATTTGCTGTACACACACACACACACACACACACACACACACACCTGTACATGTCTCCCGCGGAGCGCTTCACTGTCTTCGACCGGTGAGGTTTCGGCTCGCCTGCCAGGTTGATGTCTGCGGGAGCAAAAACACAAGAGTCAAGGAGGAGGAGGAGCTACGAGTCGCCAGCAGTTTGGTAGAAAAGAACCATGCTAGGAACCCAAGGTGTGACATTTCAATTAACACATTTCCATCGCGCCTTCCCTTCACCTGGTGGTGTTTTATTTTGAAGGACTAACGCATGCTCTAACCCTAACCAGCTGGTATTTGCAAATAAATACTCACATTTATTTGACCGGCCAGCTCAGACAATTTAGATTTAAAAAATAGTTTGTCTTTAGTGATATGAGGGATGTGTTGATGTTGTTAAATATCGCTTGTGTAAAATCATAGGCCTTCCCTACAGCAGACATTTTGAAAAAGCACAGGTGTTACCAATCACACTAACGATGGCTCTGTTCCATTTCAAGTGATCCAGAGAGACCGACAGTGAGGCAGCATGCACCAAACCAGGAGCCAAACCTGTGCTTTCTTTTTTGTTTACAAGTCAAAATGTCTGCTGTGAAAAAAAGGAAACATCATCCTTCCAGTGTTGCTTCTAAATCCCTGGTTTTATAGACTAGAGGGCAGCCCAGCGGCTCAGCTGTATGTGTCATGAAAGAATAAAGGTTTGAATTTGAAGGTGGAACTGACTGTAAAGTGTGATGGATGCGACTCTTGAGAGTGAATACATGTTTATGTGTTTGCGCCCTGCCACAGATTCATGGCCTGTTCGTGGGGGGTTTTTTCTTGTGCATGCTGGGACGGGCTCCGGTTTTTCTTTATAGAAATGTGAAAATAAATGGTAGGTTTGGGAAGAAAATATCAGTCCTCTTTTTCTGACTTTGTACCCCCCTCCTCTACCTCACCTAGCACCTGTCCCACGATCATGCGGCCGTCCTCGCTGACCACGGCGTTGCGGGCGTTCCTCTCGTTGGCGTACTGCACGAAGGCGTAGCCCTTGTGGACGGAGCAGCCCACGATCTTGCCGTACTTGGCGAAGATGGCCTCCACGTCGCCCTTCGTCACCAGCAGGGTGTTGAGGTTGCCGATGAAGACGCGGGAGTTGAGGGAGCGTGGGTCAGTCTTGTTGGTCACGTTACTGCTGGCCATCGGGCTGACCGTCAAGACAGGGGGGGAGGGGGAGGGGGGGAGAGAAAAAAGGAAAGGTAGCAGATGTGAGATTTGGTTTTCGGATTTTCTTGCACTAGAACTTGTAGATTATCTCTGCACCGCGGTCAACGTGAGTGTTGAAGCTCTTTAATAACGGCGCTTTTAACGCACTGCTTAAGCTTTGAGCACGTGTCCAATAAAGACAAAAACTGGCTTTAAGTGGGTGAAAGACTGCAGCTGTTAAATATATATTATATATATTAGATGTATTAGTCTAAAAAACATCCATCACAAACTTTGCAGAGCTTAATTTCCTGTCTATATCGAGTCACCAATTAATTGACCGATCATTTCAGCACTCGTGACACATTATATGCTCTTTTACTGGTAGTAAGACATGGAACCCACATGTACCAGTCTTTATATTAACAAAAGAAAAAGCATTGCAGTCTTTGGTAAACAGGACATTTCAAGGTGCTACTTCCTAGCTCAGTACAGTACAGGTGGGTTACTTGTATACATCTCACGCACACTATGGACGTGTGTTTGCACGTTCACAGAGGGTCAAGAAGCAGCCAGCACTCACTCCATCGTGTCTGTACTCGGGTCGATGGAGGTCTGCCTGCCTGTCTGAGTCTGTTGGAGAGAAGAGGGTTGTCGAGGAACTATGAGAGACTGGGAGACATCTACTAAAAAAAAAAAAAAAAAAAAAAAAAAAAAAAGGTTTTCTTGTTTTTGGCAAACCCAAGAAGTGCTTAAAAAGAGAAGAGGGCTGGTAGATTATTTTAAAAGAAAAAACCTGTGGGATAAATGGTTGTTAGGACAAAACAGGATGTATTTCTGAAACGGGCAACTTCCTTGTTCTACAGACTGTCTCCCTGCAGTAAAAACACCACCTCTCTGAAGCTCATAATAATGCATTTTATTTGTGTAGCGCTTTAAAAAAAAGATCGATTTTAATCCTGATTAAACACTGATGATGTGAGATTTGTGCCACTTAAAAAAAAATCTATATTTATAGCTTTAAATTAACACTACCAGACCAATATTTAATAATGTCAAATACCACAGAGCTGCAGCCTTCGTCAGCGTGTTTACATGGACAGGCTTGTATGATGTTTATTTATATATATCAGCGTAAACAGCACAGAGGAGACTGTTTCCTCCAGAGCCAAAGTTTAATGACCCCTTGACTTTATTTTACTGAGTTCTAGTGAGGTTCTACTGGAGGACAGACTAGACACATGAATCTCCCCGCGTGGCCTTTATTCATCAATATCGATCATTGTATTCAAGGTCCGGGTCCTTCCTCCTGATGACGTTTTGATGAATTGACTTTGTTCAATAAAGCTACGACGACATGAAAGATGGCCATCGAACATCCTCAGAATTTAAACATTTCCTCACTGCAAGGTGTGTATTTTGTGCCCCCCCCCCCCCCCCCCCCTCTCCATTTTGTTGAGGGAAGGAGACATTTATTGGGAGAATTTTATGTTTATGTTTGAAACAAGGCCACAGCTTGATAACCTCAATAAACGGAGTATAAGCTTCACAGAGGTGGTGTTTATTGCAGCGCCATCATGTTGGATAGCATTTCATTGTAAACTCCTTTCATTCCAACATTAAATATCTTAACTACTGCCTTCAAATGTGTACAGTGGCTCCTCATGTTTAAGAGTCCATTCATAGCACGATATTTAAATTTATGACGGCAATAACTCAGCCTCATCTGGGCTTCATTGTGTGAGCGGAGACTTCCACTGGAAATCTTTACTGTCATTTATGTGAATGTTGGTGCTTTGACTGTGAGAGACGCTGCGACTGCAGCGCCGAGACAAGACAACAGGTAGCGGCTTGTAAACACGTGCATGGAGCGGTGTGCATGTGCTTTATAGATTTAGAATAAAGGAAATGACGAGTAGGAACGTGATCTTAACTTTTGGGAAGGTGTTTGAATGCTCAGTGTCCCTGATGATCGTGAGAAATGCAACCTCTAAAACTGAGTATTTAAGAAAAAGATCCTTAAATCAGATACAATCATTACAGGAGAGGTTAGTACTTCATGGTATTCAGTAGGCATGCTTATTTGAATGGGTTCAAACTTACTTTCGGTGATAATGGTGACATTATTGTTATTATCAAGAGCAGGTATCTGTTTTTCTGTGTGGGGGTAATAGACCAGATTTGACTCCATCAAATGACATGCACTCAAAAGACAAAACAAAAACACAATTACAAAGCAAAGGCAGCAGTTATTTTAGCCGTTGTCAGCGCCAGTACTTAATCCTTAAGGCCTGGGTGGACGGAGTCGATGGAGTGTTATTCAGCATTAGCTACGGGTCTCTCATAATCAACATTATGCATTGGGTTATCATCAACTGGGAACATGTGGGAGAAGCTCATGTAAGGGCCGCTAGTGTCAACATGGAGCAGCTGATCTTCTATTTCACAGCACAAAAAAAAAACACTACATGCTATTTTGCTCTAGGGAATCCAAAAGGGGGAAATGGGCGGAGTCACAGAGGGGTGGAAATAAAAGTGGATTTAAAAAAAAAAAAAAAAAAAAAAAA